CACAACATGATCATTTGTTTTCCATCAATACAGTGCAGTGCATATTGCATACTTGATTAAGTTCCCCAATTAAATAATACTGGAAGAAAACATCAGATTGATTTTATTTGACTATTCCCGCTACCTGCTAAATGTCAACCACATCTGAGCTACAGCTGAATCACTAGAAAGGATGTCACAATAGCAAATTGACCCCTTAGCATATAATGTGTTTCTGTACAATGTGGTACGTGCTTATATGTGTGGAAAGCACATTTTTGTTCAATATACCAAAATAACAGAGTGAGCCACATGTCATATGACTGAGTGAAGCATAGCCTTACTTAATTTGCAATGTATAAAAGAGAAGTTTCAGGCATGAAAAACAATCTGGAGAAAAGTTATAGGTTCAGTTTGCAAATCATGTTTTTTGGTTTGGCAGTCATAGACTGTTTCTGTCTAGAGAGCAGGTTTTTGTTCATTTTTCTATCTTTGCCTTTTTTCTTGAGTAAAAAAAAAGATGAATAAAATATAAAAAGAATGGCTCTTTCTCTTAGACTAAACTTGCTTCACTTGAAAAACCAATTCAGCTATTTTTAACATAGTTAACTCAAGCTAAATTAGACATCAACTTGCATATTTTAAATTAAGCATTGTTTCCTTTAACAAAATCAGATAATTGTGAGGGAAGTTTGTAAAAGTTCATCTTGATAATTTTTCCAATTTTCAATGCTACTAAATCAAATATTGTACAATAGCATTTACAATTTTTCCTGCAGATGCTTACCACATTTTATTTATTATTTATTATTTATTTATTATTCAAATTTCTATACCGCCCTTCTCCTTTCGGACTCAGGGCGGTGAACAGCCAAGATAAAAACATCTATACAAACATCACAGTTAAAAATAAAGTTAAAATAATTTATAAATTTGGCCCATAATTTAAAACTTGTCAATTAAAATCAATATTAAAATTTTAAAACTAACCCTAAAATCAAGACAGACCGGCTAACTGAAAAAAATAAGTTTTTAGGGCCCGACGAAAGATCCGAAGGTCGGAGATCACTCGTATCTCTGGGGGTAGATTGTTCCATAGGGTAGGTGCCACCACAGAGAAGGCTCTCCTCCTGGGGGTCGCCAGCCGGCATTGTCTGGCCGACGGCACCCTGAGGAGGCCCTCTCTGTGGGAGCGAACCGGCTGGTGGGAGGCTATTGGTGGCAGAAGGCGGTCCCGTAAGTACCCTGGCCCTAAGCCATGGAGCTCTTTGAAGGTGATCACCAACACCTTGAAGCGCACCCAGAAGTCCACCGGAAGCCAATGTAGCTCGCGCAGCAGAGGAGTCACATGGGAGCGCCCCGTCGCTCCCATAATCCCCCGCGCAGCCGCATTCTGCACCAGTTGGAGCCTCCAGGTGTACCCCAAGGGGAGCCCCATGTAGAGAGCGTTACAATAGTCCAGACGAGAAGTGACGAGTGCTTGAGTGACCGTGCGTAGGGAGTCCCGGTCCAGAAAGGGGCGCAACTGGCGTATCAGGCGAACCTGACAAAATTTTAAATTATTTTCATTAAATCTGCATAATTTAAATCAGTCTACCACAGATGCCATTTGATTCTGCAATTAAGTTTATCTCATGTTGTAACAATATCAACTTCTATCATCCCTTCACTAGATCTGTGGGAGAATGATGTGTGTTGATGCTTTAGGAGGTAATATAGACTAAGATATAAATTTGGGTGACTGTTTGGTATGCTTCTGGGAAGTTCGAATATGAATGAAGTGCCACCACCACTGCCTCCCCGCCCCCCGCACTATTTAAAAGATCAGTTTTTCCTCTTACCTGCCAGACTTCACCAATACATTGTTTGAACTAGAAAGTTAACAGAGGGATTCGGGGACATACTGTAGCTCTTGATTAATTAATTAATTAATTAATTAATTAATTTAATTTGTATACCGCCCTTCTCCCAGAGGGGACTCAGGGCGGTGAACAGCCAAAATTAAAAAACATACAAATACAAAAGTTAAGATAATTAAAAAAGAATTAAATCATTAGCTTCCCAATTGATAAGAGGTTTATTGCAGACATTAGAAAAGCCGTTAATTTAACTCACATCTACAACACAGCCAATGTTCAAATCTCGTATCTTTTTCTTTTGTATGTGGGTCATGGCAGGATGAAAGTTAAATCATATTCTTTGGGAGGTTAACACCTCTGTGTTATGATGGTAACAGGAAACCTGCTTTTCCCTTCTAATTCTTGCTGTGGAATTAAGGCATGGTGTCCTCAAATTGGGATTATCAAAAATATACAGGCTCAGAGCTGGCAGAAAGGTGGGAGGCAATTGCAAAATCAAGTTTCTCCCTTTGTCTCCCTTTTGATGGGCAATCTAACCAGTCAGTTAGCCCTCTATATATGTATGTATTTATGTATATATGCATGTCTCTGTATACCATATTTCCCTGAAAATAAGACCCAGTCTTATATTTCTTTTGGTTCCAAAAGACACATTAGGACTTATTTTCGGGGAAACACAATATCAGGATGATCAGCCCAGTTGGGCACCCTACTCCCTGGCCCATGCACAAGAGGCGGCAAGCACGTAGGAGCTGACAATGTCTGCCAGCAGCTACAGCCCGCAGGCCCCTTGGTCAGTGCACTCTGGGGCTGCGCAGCCCGCGCCGTGCAGGTGAGTTGATTACCTGTCCAAGCAACAGATTGAGGCAGAGGCATGGGGGGAAGGCAGGCAATCCCAATGCACCACGCAGGCCACAGGCAAGCCAAGAGACATGAAGACAAGCCTCCTGTGGCCACCTGCCCACTCTGTCCCTCTGTCCCTCGGTTTGCCTATGGCCCGCATGGTGTATTGGGATCACCTGCTTTCCTCCTGCACTTTTGCCTCCATCTGTTGCCGTTGCCGCCGCATGACGATGAGTCTCCCGCAGCCGGCTGCCCACTCCGGCCCACCGACTCAGCTTTCCCGTGGCCCACACAGCACATTCAAATCTTCTTTCCCTCCTCATGCCTCTGCCTCCATCTGCTGCTGGTGCTGCTATGCAAAAACGAGCCTCCCACAGCTGCCTGCCCGCTCCAGCCCACCAACTCTTGGCTTTCTGATGGCCCGTGCGTCACATCTGGATCACATGCCTCCCTCACTCGCCTGTACCTCTGCCTCCTGCTTTGACAAGTAATTAACTCACATGCGCTGTGCGGGCTGCAGCTGCTGCCAGACACCATCAGCCCCTGCACCGTCCCTGCCTCCGCTGCTGGCCACGTCCGTCCACACACACAGAGAGAGCTGATGACAACCTTAACTGGGGCTTATTTTTGGAGTAGGGCTTATATTAGGAGCATGCAAAAATGAGGCTAGGGCTTATTTTCTGGTTAGGTCTTATTTTTGGGGAAAACACCATATACATTCCATGTAATGTATGCAGGATCATCTGCTACAATGCACAATCTTAATCTATTCTAGATTAACACTATTTATTGTTCTTTAACAAGTAAACTTTAACTACAACTAATATAATCTTTATAAAGTATTGCAATTCACCTATGCCAAACATTTAAAAATTATATTCTTGACTGGTTTTATTCTCCAGTCTTCCTTCAAAAACTCATCTAATGTTTAGATAGAATCCCATTTTGGCAGCATATTGGGCCAAAGCATCTTTGCTTTGCCAATAGGGATCTATCAATTTAACATAGTGTTTGCAAAGCAAACTTTATACCACAGCATGATTTGTAAACCCAATCGCTTTAAATTACAGTTTGATCTGTTCATTGTCAGAATAAATGCTTAGGTAGGGCATAGAACTGGATAGAAGGAATCAAATTACTTCATTTTGCATTTAAGGACAAAAAAGAGCAAGGAAAACATTTATATTTAACATTTATAGTTTTCCTTTCGTAGTCACATATTACCTTTGTAGTTTACAGTGATGAGGAGAGTGCCATTCTGTTTTAAATATGATAATGTCAGTGTTTTTTGGTGAACGTATGTGAACCAAGGTCAATCACAGCTATTACAATACTGTAATACATCAGGCAAGGAATGTGTTAATTAACTCATCACAGATGGTGTTCAGCATCCAAAACCATTAAACAGTCTTTGTGACACTAGAACAGATAAATTTTATGAGTCAAGTGTTAGCATCTAGCACTTGTACCGATAAAGAGCATTCAGGTTAAAACCTTTATCTGCTTTGGCAGCAACTTTTCTTTGTGTTTATGTGTTCTTTGTTTTTATGGGTAAATGAAGGACCAAGAATGTTAATGGCAGTAATGCTGTAGAACTGAAGTACAAAAACCGAGCCATATGGAGATTGTATTGATATTCACACAGCAGTCAGACTCCTCAATTTTAGCAGTCAAGGGAAAATTTGAAAATACAGATCCAGAAGAGAGAGTGCTTGCACTTGATTCTTGAACGCAGGCTTGCTAACCTCCAGTGTACTAACCATGTGAGCCACCAGTCTCCTAATTCAGTGAACTATAAGAAGGAGAAGACTGTACAGCAAAATCCGATGGGCAACATTCTGTTATTATAAGCAGTCTCAATAAAAGTAATGTATGTCTTCCTGTGGAGATGATTTCCTGGCTTGGTCTACTTAGTGGAGCTCACAGGAAAGCAGATTCTGCCTGGAGAAGATGGTCCCCTAGGGAAGAGGGAGCCAACCCATATTGGGCATTGTATAGTTTTTCCATTAAATACTTTCATGTAAAGCTTTCTTTTTTCATTAAGTATTTTCAAACTATACGTTGGTCTGCCTTTTCATTCATTCCCTTTTTATTCTCCAAAGCTTGCATGATGGCTGTTTGTGTTTCTAACAACAAAAATTCCAGAACAAATGTGATAAAAACATTACCACTCCTTTTTTTGTTGTTGTTGCATTATTTAGAATATAGCAAAACTAACTGCACTATTTCATAAATGTACATGTATTTCTAAAAATTAATTTGAAAGTATGCACATATTCCTGTGATTCAGCATCATTCTCCTTGGGTTCCAATTTGCAGAACTCCCCTGATTGCTGCAGGAGTGATTGGAGGACTCTTCATCATCGTCATTTTGGGTCTTACATTTGCAGTTTATGTGAGACGTAAGAGCATTAAAAAAAAGAGGGCTTTACGAAGGTTTCTGGAGACCGAGGTAAAGATTGAATCCTTTTCCTGTAAATATATGTCAGATGCTTAAAAAGTACTGCTGTTTTTCTTTGTCTTGATGTATGTATGTGTATAGATATTTTAAAGAAAATTCTTCTGTTCCAAATATTTGTGAAGAAACTTAGGCTTTTACTGCAGAACAGTAACAGCACATTAAGGAATGCCTTGTACTTCTGCTTTTGATACCTGGATATTATATAAACAGATAAATAACAATAAGTTATTTGCTTCAGTTTTCAGTTCCTTAGTCTACTTACATCTTCAAAAGACAGGGATGTGCTAATTTCAGAAGTAATTTTAGATTATGTCAAAATTTATCCAGAAAGTAAAAACTAGTATGCACAACATACATACACACAAATTGATTCATTGCTAATATATTTAATCAGTATATATTTTATTTATTTTTATTCACACATATTTATTTAGATTTATCTACCAGAAAGGTCAATGGCTTTTAGGTGGCGTACAAAATAAAACAAATTAAAAATGCAATATAAAACCACATAGAACCACGTGCGCTCCCACAGAGAGGGCCTCCTCGGGGTGCCATCAGCCAAACAGTGCAGGCTGGTGACCCCCAGGGGGAGGGCCTTCTCTGTGGGGGCACCTACCCTCTGGAATCAATTGCCCCCAGAGATAAGGAGAATCCAAGACCTCAGTGCCTTCCGCCGTGCCCTTAAAACCTTCCTTTTCCAGCAAGCCGGGCTGGCCTAATTTTTAAAGTGTTTTTAATTGTTTTGTTTATCGTTTTTAATTAATGGGGCCAAATTTATATATATTTTTAATTGTATTTTAATATTTGTACTTGATGTTTTTACTTGGCTGTTCACCGCCCTGAGTTCTCAGGGAGAAGGGCGGTATACAAATGCAAAATAAAATAAAAAATAAAATAAATATACAAATATAGTTTTGCAATCTTTTAAAATGACAAATTTTGAGTCACCAATCCTTGCAACTTAATTTAAAACAAAATTTAAGGCCAGAAATGTCAGTTGTCAAGATCATAAACTTGAAGGGGAGGGAGGAGTCACTCAATACTGAATATCTCATTTAGGGCAGTGGGAAGAAATATCATTTGCTTAATCTTCCCAAAACATTAGGGCTAATTGTAGATGTTGACCTCAAGAATGCTGAGTCCCATTTTTACAATACTTCTGCCTGGAAACCAGAATAGAAAATGATCCTATTTTGAGTTTTGCATTGTGGAAGAGAATGGCCTTGGGAACGCATTTACCACACGGGTTCTGCTACTGCAAAAATGTGGTCTGCAAGATTATGGTAGCTTTATGGATGTAAATCATAAATTGGCTACTACCACTATTTCTAAAATAAATATGAAAAGGATTTATACCATGAAAATAGTATTTCAGATTTTGTATATCATCTGTATACAATTTTGTTCCTCCTTACATTTCTATTTAAACTTTGACATCTTCATTCTAGTACCTGAAAATTAATTAAGGGAAGTGGTGTGTAAAAATTATTGTGTCAGGTTTACATCCATAGCTTTTTTTCTTTGTTATTTGTTTTTGTTCTCAACTAATAATGTAATTCCCTGCTCCCCATAATTTTGCCTGCACAGCAAAGACTGTACTCAACTAATTAAGTCATCTACAATGTTCATAGAGGCGTGATAATGATACTCAAAAGGCAGCACATGGGGCAGTTAGCCCTTCAAACAGACTCTTTGAAACACTGCAGTAGCTTTTTAATCCAATTTGAGCAGGAGTAGTCTTTAATTATTTTCCTTATCTTGAGAAAAGACAGGCTATTTGTCAGTGTTTAGAGGCCAGTCTTTTCCCATTTATTTTTTAGAGAAAAATGTATTTCCAATCAAAAGCTGGGCAGCATTCTAATCATGTGATGTTTTCTGACTAAGTTCCATTTCCTTGAGTCCTTGGGTAAGAGCATTATGAATCCGAGCTCCATTCTTGCTTGCTATTGCTGCATAATCCTGAAAACTTCAATTTGGCATTGAACTCCTTTTCCACTACCACAAAAAGGAAGTCTTTCCTTGTGAGATTTTTAAATTATTTATTTATTTATTTATTTATTTATTTATTTATTTATTTATTTATTTATTTATTTATTTGTTTGTTTGTTTGTTTGTTCAATTTATATGCCGCCCTTCTCCAGAGACTCAGGGTGGCTTACAATGCATTAAGCAATAGCCTTCATACTTTTGTTTATACCTGCTTAGTAGGGCTTTCGCCGCCCCCAAGCGGTGTTTTTTTTATACAAAGTCAGCTTATTGCCCCCACAATCCGGGTCCTCAGTTTACCTACCTCGGAAGGATGGAAGGCTGAGTCAACCTTGAGCCTGGTGAGATTTGAACTTGCAGTAATTGCAGGCAGCTGGCAGCTAAGTGCTACTTAACAGCACTTTAATATGCTATTTTCAAAACTGGTTGAATTTCGTTTTACTATGTGCTTGTTTTTATGGCATTGTTATTGTCTCACAATAGTAGGTCTAATGGGATAGATATCAATGGTTTTATAAATAAAATATTTGTATAATACATAATGGCATAATAGCAATTACTGTACTTTATTTGTTTGATATTTATATGAGTTTAAACAAACATTTCAAGATGACTTAATGTATAAGCTACATACTTTTTAACCAAGTGATATGCCTCAATGAACTCAGTAAGCAGACTGAACAGAGAAATATAAAATTCAGTGTTAGACATTTATTAGAAAAGACCAAAGATAAAAAATATGTCATCTGTCCCAACTTGGTCAGTTAGCAAAGAAAGACTCTTAGGTCAAAAGTTAACCATAAGTATACGTTATGAAAGCCAAGAAGAAGCAAAGCTAGATCTGAGAGTTTCCTGCCCAAAGTATATGGTTAACCTTTCCATGTCCTCCTATACACACACACACACACACACACACACACTTATCAAGAAGTATCCAATTAGGTGCTAACAAATTGTTTTGGGAAACAGTCCCTGTCTTCGTAGCTGGTATTCCTTTCTTGACTTGAAGCAGCCAGTGTTTCTCATGCGACGGTCTAAGGCTTGGTTTAGTTTCCTCATGGTATACCCTGGCAACCCTCCCTCTCATTCCACCCGCAGTTCCCTCTATGGCAGGCTGCCAGTGGCAAGCAGATTGCAGCATAGTTTAACAGCAGCCCTAACAAAAGGTGTATGTTTTCATCTCAGAGCCTGTGTGATAAATCCTATGTTCTATGTTCTAAATTGTTTGGGTAAGTTTTCCATTGCAAATAGTGAAAATTGCTTGATGCAACTTCAGTCAAATCACCCCAATGAAGCAGATTTACGAATAACACAATGTGCAGCAAACTGGATGGATGCCAAAATGACCTGCAATGTTAAGTATATAATGACACAATCATACAAATATTGTCATTAAGTTTTGAGTCCTGATCCAAATACATAAACTTCACTTTATGACATAGAACAGTTATGGCTAATCTTTTTGCCATTGCGTGCCAGGAGAGGGGGGGCAGGGGAGGGTCACGCGCGTGCCTACGCGCATGCACACGCAACCCCACCCACCCCTGCTCCTGGCACATGATGGCCTGGTAGGCCTATTTTTCTTTCTTACCTGGTTCCAGTTCCTCTCTATGCATCTGGGAAGGACGAAAACATCATTTCCCACTCCCTTGGAGGCCCTACGGAGGCTGAAAGGGCCCATTTCCCAACTCTCGGTGGGGCAGGAAGTGACTTTTTTGCTGTCCCCAGCCTCCAGAACCTCTCTAGGAGTCTCTAGGAGCCTCTCTAGGAGTCTCTGGAGGCTGGGGACAGGAAAAAACGTCACTTCCTGTCTCACCGGGAGTCGGGAAATGGGCCCTTTCAGCCTCCATAGGGCCTCCAAGGGAGTGGGAAAGGCTGTTTTCGCCCTTCCCAGATGCATAGAGAGGATCTGGAGCCAGGTAAGAAAGAAAAACGGGCCTTCCCCACACACCCCAGGCCCTCCAGAGGCAGGAAACAGCCTGTTTCCCTACTTCTGGTGGGCCCAGAAGGCCCGAAAATCAGCTGGCCAGTGCGCCCATGCGCCCCAGAGCTGAGCTGGCATGCCCCCTAATATGGCTCCGCGTGCCATCTGTGGCATGCGTGCCATAGGTTCGCCATCATGGACATAGAATAATAGAGTTGGAAAGGACCTTGGAGGTCTTCTAGTTCAACACCCTGATCGAGTTACAGACTTTATACCATTCTGGACAAATGGTTGTCCAATCTCCTCCAATCTCTTCTTGGAAAAACTCCAGTAATGCAGCACCTGCATTGTAATTTCTAGAGGCAAGACATTCCACTGATTAATTGTTCTCATTGTCAGAAAATTTGTCCTTATTTCTAAGTTGGATCTCTCTTTAATGATCTTCTACCTGTTACTTCTTGTCCTGCACTCAGATGCTTTGGAGAAGAGGTCGACCCCTCTTCTCTGTGATAGCCGCTCCAGTACTAGCCATTCCGTTTATAAGACTAGGCATATCTAGTCTCCTCAACCATTCATCATACGGTTTAATCTCCAGAGCCCTAATCCTTTTTGTTGCTCTTCTCTGTACTCTTTTGAGAGTCTCAGCATCTTTTTTATATTGTGTTGACTAGAACTGGATGAAATATTCTAAGTGTGGTTTCGCCAAGTAGTATAAAGCTGTTCTATCACTTCACATGATCTTAATACTATCATTCTGTTAATGCAGCCTAGGACTACAGTGGCTTTTTTGGCAGCTGCTGGCTCATAAGTAGTAGTCCACTAGGACCTCTAGATTCCTCTGACTGTTACTATTGAGCCAGGTGCCACTTATTCTATACCTGTGCATTTGACTTTTTTTACCTATGTTTAAGACCTGACTTTTCTCACCACTGAAATGCATTTTGTTCTCTAAGGCTCAGTATTCAGGTCTGTTAAGATCAGTGGTGGGATTCAAGTAATTTAACAACCGGTTCTCCCGAAGTGGTGCGAGCTGGCTGAATCTCACCACTGGTTAAGATCCTTCTGAATCTTAAGTCTGTCTTCCAAGTATTAGCTATTCCCCCCAGCTTGGTGTCATTTGCAAATTTGATGAGTGCCCCTTCTATACCTTCACCTAGATCCCTGATGGCGAACCTATGGCACACGTGCCACAGGTGGCACATAATGCCCTCTCTGTAGGCACATGAGCCATCATCCCAGTTCAACTCCACCATGCATGCGCGCACATCTCCCACCGGCCAGCTAGTTGTAGAGTCTCTGCTGTGCATGAATGGGGGAGTGTCGTGTGGGAAGGGGCCACACATGCATGAACGGGGGTGCATGCACATTGCATTTTGGGGTTCGGGTGGATGTGCATGCAATTGTGTGCACATGTGCTTTGGGCACTCAATCCAGAAAAGGTTAGCCATCACTGAGCTAGATCATGTATGTATATGGTGAAAAGTACTAGGCCCAAGACAGAATCTTGAGGTTTCCCATTGCATGTTTCCCTCCATGTAGATCTAGTTCCATTGAGAACTACATGCTGGGTGTGATTGATCTGTCAATTGAGAATCCATCTTGCTTGCTTCTAATACTGTAATTGCCTTGCTAATTTCAAAGTGCTCACATATTCACTGCTTTTCCAGGATTTTCTCAGGTGTTGATGTTAGGCTGATTGATATGTAGTTTCCTGGATCCACCTTTTGTAATTTCCTGGATCCACCTTTAAGATTGGAACCACATCAGCTCTTTTTCAGTCCTCTGGTAGTTCCCCTGTGCTCCAGAAGCTCTGAAAGATTTCATTCAGGGGTTCTAAAATTATATCTGCTGTGATTTCATTCAAAACTGTGGAATGTAATCCATCTGCTCCTGGCAATTTGAACTCTTCTACAGGGAATAGTTTTTCTTATCTATTTTGACGTGCATTCCTGCTCTGTCTCCTACGGTGCTGCTTTTGATAGGTTGGACTATTTTTTTCCCTTTGAAGAGAGATACAAAGAATGGATTAAGTAGTTCCAGTTTCTCCTTACTATTTGTTATCTCTTTGCCAATATATATTGGAAAGAACTTTTTTTCATAATTTTGGCATTTGTTGTAGGTCTTACTTCATTCTGAGCCTTAGCTTTCCTGGCTCATTCCTTGAAGATTCGGGCTATTTGCTAGTATTCTGTTTTAGTTATGTGTCCCCTTTTCCCTTTTATATATTTGTCCTTCTTGTCTTTCGGTTTGTCAGGGAGTTCTTTATGCAACCATGCTGGTTTCATCTGGGGTCTCTTGTTTTTTTTATCTGTGGTATCGTGTTAGACTGGGCTTTTATACTCATTTTTCAGGGTTTCTCAAGTATCTTGAGTTGTTTTTCCCTTTAGGGCTTCCATCCATAAAATCCATCCTAAATTGTCTCTTAGTTATAAGTCAGCTCTTTTGAAGTCTAAGACACTAGTTTGACTTTGTTCAATAATTTGTGCCTGCTTAATGTTGAATTCCAGCATGACATGGTCACTCCCCCCCCAGGTTTCCGCGATTTCAGCTCCATCTATTATTTCATTCCTATTACTAATTGCCGTATAGTTGACCCTCAAGTTCTCTTCTCTACCTTTTGGATGACAACTACTTTGTTGCATTGAGACATTCAGTAACTAATCTGAATGTTTTAGAAGCTCAATTGCCATAACAGAGTATCAATTACTTGAAAAAAAGAACAAAACTGAGCACAAAATATCCAATCAAAATCAGCTGAATTAGCTAAATTGTTGTAAGAAGAATATTCAAGTATGTTGATCGTTGTCAGTACCAAATCTCATTTAAAAACTTATTCATGGAAACAGTTTTAATTAACACAGGTTAACTTGTCAGCACTACAGAACTGTGTTAGCTAAGAATGAATAGAAATTAAGGAAACTGACATATTTTAAACAATGGACATGTCTTGTATTGTTGGGGCAGTATAAGAAACTAGAAAGCTTTCAAGATTCCCATCTTGCCAAACTCTTCGTTACCTAGCTGGAAATCAGTGGATTAAACTTTTATCACCCATTGTACAATGGATTCTCTACAATCTTTGGGAGAATTTATATCTTGGAATAGAGAAAATACTAGAGCCAGCCTTTTTGAAAGGGATCCTAATGAAGATGCTACTGTCGTACAATCATCCAGTTGTTCATGTTGGTAACATCATCACAGAAAACATGGAAGCCCTTTCCAGTACCTGGACAACTTATCCAGTGCTTCACTCAGAAGGGCTTTAGCACCCTTCCAACTGCAGATCAAGCCTTTAGCTTATCTCAAAGGGAGATTTTGTAAGCTCTCTGCTGAACAGCACCTCTGTCCTTGTAGTGTTGGTCAAGCAGAGAACCTTATCCATTATGTCCTCCACTGCCCCATTTACAATGAGATCAGGCCATATTATTAATGGCAAATGAACTCAAGGACTCTGACCTTGAAAAATTGAATTATTTCCTTGCAGATGTGTTTCCAGATGTCAGCAACCAAGTTGCTATATTTGCTCAGCTGTCATTTAAACTTAGAAAGAAATACTTAAAGTTCTTAGTTGTGGCTTGGCTTTATTTTGTTGTAACCTTTTGTCTAATACTTCCATCATGCTGTTTTATAACTTCATTGTTTTATTATTATTATTATTATTGTATTTTATTGTATTCTTATGTTATGACCTATAGTTACAACAATATACTTATTACTTACTTTGCAATGTACATGTTGCAGAAACAGAATAATTCCTACAGTAAAAGAGAAGTGATGCCTGAAATAGTTTTTACCAATTGTGAATTCAGTTTGGTTTTCCACAAACATGACTAGTTTTTTCTCTAAGAAAATTAGTGAAAGGTTTATAAGAGTTCACAAATAAATAAGCTAAGTTCTGTTTGTTTATAAAGAACAAACATAAGCAAACATGTTTCTGCAGAACAAAACTGTTTTTGCATCATGTATACTATAAAAACTTTAAGTATTTCTTTCTAAATTTAAATGTAGCATATTAATTTACATAGTTTTACAATGGCAGGTGTCTTGAGTATTTATTGAGACTCAGTTTGGTGTAATAGATAAAGCATCAGGCTAGAAACTGGGAAGCAGCGAGTTCTAGTTCTGTCTTAGCAAAAAGCCAGCTGGGTGACCTTGGCCAGTCATTCTTTCTCAGCCCCAAGAAGTAGGTAATCCTAAAGCACTCCTAAAAATCTTGCCAAGAAAACTGGAGGAACTTGTGCATGCAGTTGCAGGAAACAACACTGATTTGAAAACACACACATATACACACACCTAAAACAAAATTCCACATAAACTATAAAAGATTTGCTATTAAATTAATGTCTCTGTTGTCTTTAGGAATTTTAATTTTTTTTAAAAAAAAGAAAAGAAAAAAAATGCTACCCAGATAATTAAATCATAGGAATCAGAATGATACCTTTTAATGTGAAGAAGAAAATCCATTCTCATTCTTAAACCTGACGTTCATATGGACTGAGAGTGAATCATTGTTAAACATTTTGAAGTCAAATGCCAAAAGTTCACTCAGAGCTGTTCTAATGCAGCAGTTAAGGTTAAGATCGGCCCCAGCCAGAGAAGCTCCCTGAGCGATTTTGGGTGCATGACTCTGTCAAGCAGCCCACCTCACTAGGTAGTTGTTATGAGGAAAAATTGAAGGAGGGAGTGCTGGGTAAGCTGTCTTAGGTTCTGAAGGAAAGTTAGGCTATAACAAAGAAACAAATAAATTCTCTCATTTTAAATTTTCTTTGTTATTTTTACAGGAAATACACACACACACACAGACAGATACATATATATTGCATAATTAAACAAAATTTATTTGGAAAACTTAAAGAGATTTGTTTCTCATTTTGCTGTTAAGGCAATGCAAACCTATGCCTACCTCTTCAAAAATTGATCCTACTGAGTTCAGTGGAGCTTACTTCTAGTCAGCTTTCATTATCTTAATTTTTGCTGGATGGCATCAAGAGTAAAGCACAATAAGGAGCAGCATGAAAGATAAGATACAAACAATACCTACTATGTTAAAATCCAACTATGGATAGTGCTTTTCATGGCTTCTTACTATCTTTTTTGTTTTTTTGTTGTTGTTGTAGCTGGTAGAACCTTTGACTCCTAGTGGCACAGCACCCAATCAGGCACAACTTCGCATTTTGAAGGAAACTGAGCTAAAGCGCGTCAAGATCCTTGGATCTGGGGCCTTTGGAACTGTATATAAGGTATGTTTCCTTAACGGCAGTCCTTCATCAACTATTGTTCCCAGGATCTGATGATTATCCAAATGGAATGGTAGAAATCAATGGGCTTCTAGAATAGGATATAAATCTCCTTTTCTTATAAATGTTCAGCTTAATATAAACCCTCTTGTTTCTTCTCTTAATGAATTGAATGGACAATAAGAAGTTGGGAAAGGTTGGCAAGAGTTGGGGGACCAAATGCTGTGCAATTTGCTTTACTAGTGCCTAAGTTAGCTTGTACTTTCAAGCACAGTCAAAACTGCTCTCCTATTGCCAGTGTGAAAGTGTGGTGGTATGGTCAAATTATGGTCAAAGAGGACTATTTTACCGTTTGATTAGATATGCTCTTGTTCACTTTGTCATCACTTTTTAGGGCATTTGGGTTCCTGAGGGAGAGAGTGTGAAGATTCCTGTAGCAATTAAAATACTGAATGAGACAACTGGTCCAAAGGCTAATGTGGAGTTTATGGATGTAAGTAATATTAATGTCCCATTACAGTGATATGTATGTATGTTATTGATAGTTTTAAGGGGGAGAGGAATTATTTGTATGCTTCTTCCAATTTACAAGCCAACAACTTCCAAAAGCAACATTTACACACGTGCACTGCAACTGAATAATAGCAATGGCAATAGCACTTAAACATACTATACTGCTTCATAGTGTTTTACAGCACTCTCTAAGTAGTTTACAGAGTCTGCATATCTCGGTCCTCATTTTACTGACCTCAGAAGGAGGGAAGGTTGAGTCAACATTGAGCCCATTAGGATTGAACTTCAAAATTATTGGCAGAATTAGCCTACAATTCTGTATTCTAACTACTAGGGAGCCATTAGGGCTCCTATAAATTAAACATAGACAACCACTAGAGTATCCTGCACCCATATTCTATTGTTTTTTTTTCTTTTATCATTTCCTCATGAATATATCAATTTATATGAATTTGACACTTTTCAATGACCTTAACCACCCAAGGCTCCCACCACATCATGCCAATCATTTGTTCCACAAGGGAGCAGCAGAGACATTCTCTGCAATTGATTGCTTCTTCATTTGATGATCTGTGCAGTGGAATATTAATTTTAGGGATGCCAGCAGGATGTGTTCAGAAAAGTTGGTAACTGTGATAATGCAGCCAAATCTCCACTCATTTTTTAATGTACAAAGCTCTGTTTGTTTTTTATATGCATCACACAACCCATCTGCTTGCTAACTCTTCTACTTCCTTAGATTATTCTAAGCACCAACTCAGACTAGAAAACAATTTTCTTCATTATTATCAGGTTATGTCTTCTCGAACACTGCACCACACATAATATAAAGTAGTATACAGTGATACAATTGTCATATTGCTTTATTTTCATTTGTTTTATTTATATCCTATTTCTCCACAAAATATAAATCAGAATAGAGCTGGAAGGGACCTTGAAAGTCTTCTTGTCCAACCCCCTGCTCAAGCAGGAGACTCTATTCCATTTCAGATAGGTGGCTGTCCAGTCTTTTCTTAAAAACCTCCAGTGAGCACCTACAACTTCTGAAGGCAAGCTGTTCCACTGGTTGTTCTCACTCTTAGGAAGTTTCTTCTTAATTCCAGGTTGCTTCTCCCCTTGATTAGTTTCCATTCATTATTTCTTGTCCCGCCCTCTGGTGCTTTGGAAAATAAGTTGACACTCTCTTCTTTGTGCCAGCCCTTCAAATACTGGAATATTGGTATCATGTCACCCCCTAGTCCTTCTTTCCTCTAGACTTTCCATACCCAATTCCTGCACGTGTTCTTCATATGTTTTTGTCTCCAGGCAGTTGCTCTGACATATAAAATCATCTTAGTTGCTCTTCTTTGCATCTCAACATCTTTTTTGTAATGTGGTGACCAAAACTGGATGCAGGTGTGGTCTTACTAAGGATTTATAAAGTGGTACTTTCACGTGATTTTGATTCTATACTTCTGTTTATACAACCAAGGATTGTATTAGCTTTTTTGGCTGCTGCCACACACTGCTGGCTCATATTTAAGTCATCATCCATTAGGACTCCAAGTTCCCTTTCACAGTTACTGTTTTTGAGCCAGGTTTCTGTATTTGTACCTTTGATATTTCCTGTCTATTTGTAAAACCTTGCTTTTCTCCACATTAAATTTCATTTTGCTGGATAGGGCCCATTGTTCAAGTCTGTCAATATTTTTTTGGATCCTGAGCTTGTCTTCTAGGGGTGTTGGCTATTCTTGCCAGCTTAGTGACATCTGCAAATTTGATGAGTTTCCCTTCTATTCCCTCATCTAAGAAATTTATGAAGATATTGAAGAGTAAGACGGAACCTCCCCACTGCTTACTTCCCTCCATGTAGATATAGGACTATTCGTTGAGTACAGTTTGTCAGCCAGTTACAAATCCATCTAGTGATGATGCTGTCTATCCCACATTTTTTTAGTTTACCAAGAAGTAGGTTGTATTCAAGAAGAGTAAATTTAAAATACAACTAAAATAGTAGTAAAACTAAAACTGTATTTGCCTACTGGCAGAAAATAAAAATAAAAATGCAGGGAATGACTGATTAATATATTTTCCACCAAGTTTGCTGGAAAAAACTCACTGCTTCTTTAAGCTAATAGGTAATTTCAAAATGTGACAATTTTTCAATTTCAAAATGTGACAAGAACCATGTATTAATGGATGAAAACTTTGAATGGCTTAGAAATGGCAATAACAATCAATATTTATTAGATAGTAAGCTTAGTTAGATTCAGTGTGGGGAGATTGAACAATTCAGATTTATTTGATTCAGATTTCTGAATCAGTTTTTTGAGGCTTTTGCACAATTGATTTGAAGACATTCAGTTTGATTCACCCCAAATCAATCTGATTAAGGTTTCATGCTGCTGACCCTCATTCTGTGTTCCAGCAATTCTGCTTCTTTTTAGAAAGATTAGCCCAGCCACTTTTTTCTATCTTCTGATGACTTCTAGTTTTGATTACTATGATGAGCATGGTCTCCTTCTGGACACACATTGCTAATTGATACTGGTTGATGGAAATACACTTCAATTAACTTGTTTCTGAATGCAATTCAGCATACTAATATGCCTGGAAATCTTAAATAAGTCAGAATGTGTTTTCTTGAAGGGTTGTCTTTTTGAAAAAGAATTTGTCTATGTTGATGAAAGCAAAGAAAGGATCATGGGTATATCTCTGTGCAATAGCTCTTCTGTGATAAAGTTGCATATTCAGTCAAGGCTGTTCAAGCCACTTTTATTTAGAGGTACAGATATAGGCACATATTGGATTGATTATAATTGTACAAATAGAACTCTCCCACAAAATGGCAAAATGAACCCTATATTATTGCCATGTTGTCCCTTGAGCTAGCTTTTGGGGGTAAGAATGGCTCTTGGCTCCTTTTTTAAAAAAAATCTTTGGCTTATGTGTTTTGGATAGTTACTAGTCTCAAATTTAAGGCTGCATATTCTTTTTACTGCAAAGATTTTGAACTCAGCTGTTGCCTTTTGATGGTATGTAGAGTGAGTAAGATAGTATATGATGTGGTGAGTGCTTTATTCTAACTCATGCATAAATGAGTATTTTAGCATAACCCATTAGAGTGATGGTACAAAAAATATGCAAGTGGAATGCCTGCTTTCTGTGGAAGACCAAGTGATTAGCACTAGGAGCTTGGCTTTCTCTTCACTCTCTGAATGATGGCAAAAGGAAAAGGAGAGCAAGGAGTGCTTTTTGTAACCAGTTGGGCCCTTAAATGTTGCACGTATAGAGGAGAATAGGCCACAGCAATTTGGTAACTCAACTGTCATTTCACAGCCCTCAAACATTTTCTAATGTACTCATAATGACTATAATGACATAATGCACCTTGTAACTAGATGATGTGGCAGCTCCTTCCTATATTGATCACAACAGGAAACAGTAAAGTGAATAGCAAAGAAAATCCTGAGGTTTGAATGGTGACTTTTTCCCTCTATCCCAGTTCTTTTCATTTTCATTCATCTTTCTTTTGCTTAAACGATAGAAATCTTATTAGAGTTTTATAGGATTGAAACAGGGGTGAAATCTAAAAATTTTGCTACCGGTTCTGTGGGTGGGGCTTAATTAGTGGGCGGGGCTTGGTGGTAAGGTGACTGGGTGGGCGTGGCCAAGTCAATGTCACTTCTTTGCCCTTTTTTAACCTACAAAACACAACACAACACAACTGGCTCACCCACAATGTAAAAGCAGCTGTGCTAGATCCAAAATGGCCCCGCAACAAGCAGGAACCTCACACAGCCACAAAAAGCCCCCAAAAATAACTTTTACACTTTACACACACACAACACAACACAACAGGCTCACCCACAATGTAAAAGCAGTTGTGCTAGACCCAAAATGGCCCCTGCAACAAGCAGGAACCTGACACAGCCACAAAAAGCCCAAAAAACCAACTTTCACACTTTACACACACAAAATTCCACATTCAGCTTTGTGAGATTTTGTGTGTTTGTGTAGTTAGAGTGAAACACTACAGAAACACACTAAATCTCAGAAAGCTGCACAAATATTATTTTATTTTTATTTATTTTTATTTTTATATACAAGCAGCTAAATTTAAAACTTCCTAAACTTTAAATGGCTAGGTATAAAAAAAGAACAACTAAAAAAAACCCCAATTAACTATTTTTTTTAAAGCTCCCAAAGGGGGGGGAAAACTTACCCAATAGAACAGGGGTCTCCAACCTTGGCAACTTTAAGACTTGTGGACTTCAACTCCCAGAATTCCTCAGCCAGCTTTGCTGGGAGTTGAAGTCCACAAGTCTTAAAGTTGCAGATAGAGCTGCTCACCGATGAGCTTGATTGCAGGCAGTTGCTTGTTGATGCAATGGATTGCAGGTATTACAGCAAGCAAAGCAAAGCAGGCGTTGCGACCAGCAGCTAAGGTAAGCAAGCTGGAGGCGGGGGGGGGGGGAACGGAAGAAAAAAAGAAACTTTTTTTCTTTTAAATAGGTCGGACAATCCAAGCTGAGTTGCCTGATTAGCAGGCAATTCAGCTGGGATCATCAAAGCTTGGTTCGTCAGAGCCATTTAAAAGAAAAAAAAGGCTCTGATGATCGCGCGGCTCAGCTGGGCATGGGGGGCGGGGGCAGGGATTTTTGCTACCGGTTCTCCGAACTGCCCGCTGCCATCGCTACCTACTCGCCCGAGCCGGTCCGAACCGGGAGCATTTCACCCCTGGATTGAAACCCATAAAGTCCCAAAATTTCCTGAACTAGACTTATTGTTACCCTGAGTTAAGTGGCCTCCGCTTTGCATGTGTCAAGAAAGTGGGTGGGAATCTGGATAATTTAATTTGCTCCTACTGTATCTCTATTACCAAGAGGCCTTATGTGGGTTTTCTTTTCTTTTTGCCCCCACCCCCACCCCAGTCAAAATAACTTGAATAGCCTTGGGTACAATGTATCTTGGCTTTGAGCCATCATTTCTTACTCTACT